TAGCCTATTACCTGTGTGTGGAAATACCACCCCTGTTGATTGCCTTGATGGTTCGCGCCTGCCTGCTCTCATCTTACTGGCCAGCAGGTGGCAGCACAGGAGCATGCGAGAGTCAGGGTTGCAGGGGGGAAAAAGGCGCAAGATGTTAAGAGCGCCAGGTAAACTTACAGGGACCGTGCTTCCTGGTTCTGCCGTGGCCCCCTACTCATTGCTTTACACCCACCCTCCACACCGTGCTGGGCACGGGAGGAGGAGAGCAAAGGAAGAGGACACCTGCTCCTCCATGAATTCTTTTGGGGATGATGACGTTGGGGGAAGCACTTTAGCAAAATGTAGCTGCTTATACACATGTAATGTTTCATACTCATTTAATCCTCTCGGCAAGCCCAAGTCTTAGTAGCCCATTTTACAGGGGGAGGAAACTGAGGTACTGATGAATGGTCACACTTGTTGGGTGTCACACGGCAAGTGAAAGTGACGGACTCTGAGCCGAGGTCTTGCGGACTTAGAATCCAACTGTGTTTCCTTCCTTAGCTGGGAGGTGCTTGGCGCTGAATCGCAGGCCCTCATTAGCAAGCAACGCTGGTACTTCTCAGTGAAGTTGGGGGTTAAACTTGGGGGAATGGAACAAGGGTGGGTGGGCCTAGAGTTTTCCTGAGAACTGGTCCTAGATGCTAGTCTGGGAGGTAAGAGACCAGACTTCCGCTCTATCTCTTCTGTTCTACGGCTGTGTGGCCTTGGGAAGACCCTGACCCTCTTTGGGCTTTCCTTTCCTTTCCTCATTCTATGAGTCCTTACTGTTGCTCGCTGCCTATGGAATCCGGAAGCTCCAGCATCAAACACTTTCATTGACTGAAAGAAATAAGGCTAAGACCCATGGCGTTCTTGCTGGGATTATGTGAGGCCATGGAGAGAGATGCTGGGTACCCGCGTGAAACCCAGCCCTTGCTGTGGTCTGGACCACCTGGAGCCCTGGGTGTGGCCTCAAGAAGTCTGTTCAGCCCTGGCCCCACCGTAGGTTTCACCTACTGCAGGCTGGACCCTCCAGGAAGCAGAAGGCTTCAGGGACACGCAAGCAAAGAAGTGGGGAACAGACTAGAGCGGGATGCGGTGAGTCCAGGATGCAGGCTCCACCAGCCCCAAAGAGTGCAAGCAAAGACCACCTGTTAGAGAAGCTGTGCTGGGTAGAAATGGCCAGGCCCTGGTGCCACTGTTGCTTGGCCTTTAGCGGTGCCTCGCTGTATCCCCATCCCCAAAAGTGTGAACAGTCTGGAAAGCAGAAGGGGACCCTAAAGGAGGCTGTCAGCTGGGTAGCGAATCCTCTCCTGGAGGGGGATCTGGGACTTGTCTGCTCACCAGGAAGAGGGGTGGGCCTTGACCACCTGCCCCCACGGGGCCAGGGAAGGCCTGGTAGGGAAGGGCTGGAACTGAGGGGAACAGGTCAGAGCCCTGTGTGTGTGCTCAAGGGGGTGTGTGCGTGTTCAGTGCAGGTACACTTGTATAGGTGTGAGTATGTGTGGTTGTGACCTCGTGCAAGCGTGGAACACATGTGCAAGTGGGCGTGTGCCTGTGCCTGTGTGTGTGGTGTGTGTGTGCTTATAAACACATGCAGCACCTTGTGTCCTAGCATTCAGGTGGGAGCTGCCAGCTCTGGGCACATCTGGCAGGAGACAGCTTGGTCCAGCCGAAGGGAGGCAGGGAGCACAGCTATAAGGAGACCTCTCGGGCAGGAGTGAGCGACTCCGGGCCACCGAGAACAGAAACAGTAGCAGCCACAGCAGCAGCACAAGATTTCTGGAGTCCTGACTCTGTGCCAGGAACAGGGCTCGGGTCTTTCCCCCAGGTTTAGTGTTTAACACAACCCCCTGGGGTGGGTAGTGTTATTATACCCATCGCACAGATAAGGACGTTCATTTATCCCACAGATGAATTGTTTAATTGTCTGCCATGTGCCAGGTCCAGTGGAAGATGAATTAAAAAAGCCTTAACCTCAGAGTCAGAACATTCTAGAATGCAGGGAGGGGTGAGGTTGGTTGTTGAGCTGGTGATGTTGACTCACTCCTAGGCCAGGCTGAGAGTGGCCAGTGGAGTGCAAGTGGGTCCATGGGAGGAGGAGGTACTAGGTGGTTCCCAGCCGGATGCGTGCAGCAGGGTGAGAGGGAGCAGCTGTCCCTGGCCAGCATTTTAGGCCCTAATCTCTTTCCTTTAACACCTGGCCTGGCTAAGACAAGAGAACAAGGCTGGACTCAGGTATTCAGCCTAGGGTGGAAAAATAAGTCCCTCGAATACACAGATGCCCGGTCCCACCGCAGGCCAGCAAATTAGGTGGTTTGGAGCCAGGAATGTGGTGCCATGGCAGCAGGTGTAGTCTACTCCCTCCCAGACCTGACAGGAAGGCAGTGCTGGGCACCTGGGGCTGAACATCTCAGGCTGCCAGCTTGACCCAAAGTCTTCACCCAAACCTGACTGTGGAATGCGCAGAACTGCTGTTGAGTGTCCTAAGCAGGGAAGAGAAAGGCCCCAGCCCTCCCTACACTTTTTCCTGGGCAGAGGAGCTCAGAGGGTGTAGGGGAGTATGAGGAACCCTAGATAGTTTTTCCTGTTCACACACAAAAGACAGTTGGATACCTGGGAATGTGGCTCGGGGGAGCTTTGGGCCGGAGGTTCAGGGTCATGGTCTCAGGGGAGATACCTTGAGGGGAGAGAGGTATACGGAGGTAGAAGGGAGGCCTGCCCGAGTGTGGGTCCGCTGAGGCTCGGGGAATGCTAGGCAGCTCTGGAGATAAGGAGGCTGCCCTCACAGGGGTTTCCCGACATTCGTGTGTCTGCTGCCCTCAGGAGGGGCCAAGTCTTAGGGGTCAGGACAATTTCCCAGTAAGAGGTAGAGTTTAAGCCCCCTGGGGACAGTCTGCACTGCTAGTACCCAGCATGCACTGGGTTATCACCCACCCAAGGCCAGGCTTTAGGACCCCTGGAGGTGCTCTAGTCTGCTGCCTGAGCTGCTGGGGAAGAGTCACCACAGAAGTCCAGGGTCCCCAGCCTTGATCTCCCTGGCAGGACTCTGAGTGAAAACAGAAGGGGCGTCCTACCCCACCAGACCCTCCCTGAGAATCCTCTCTTTGGAGGCTGGCATTGGCCCTATCACAGGGAGCTCTGGCTGGCATCCGCAGAGCCACCCCAACTTCAGATGTCTGGGACAGAGCCCCTCCAGGCTGCACACCATTCTCAGGCCTATGGGGTAGGGAGTCTGGGCTCTGTCCAGCACTTCCCCAGGGCTTGGCAGGAGGATAGCCTGGCACAGGTCATCCTTGACGCAGGTCAGCCGTGGGGAGGCTGCCTGGGCTGGGGGTGAGCCAGGGCCTGGGGTGGCCCCTCTGTCCAGGCCAGATGGCCAGTGGCTCCAGTGGGAGGGGCTGCCATCACCTCAGTCGGTGTCCTGGCCTGAGTGCCCTACTCTTTCTCATGGAGCTGGGCCTTCAGCTGCTATGAGCTGAGGGCTGCTCTTCCGTGGAGCGGGGCTTCAAGGCACCCATCTCCCACCTTCCTGCCTTGCTGCACCCTCACCCCACCTCGGGCCTACCCACACACCCAGTGCCTCACCTGCATTCTGGCCAAGGCCTTGCAGGACCCCAGTGAGTCTGTCTGAACATCTAGGATTTCCCTCGTGGTGTCCCCTTTCCTCTACAATTCAGGGTGGTCAGCTCCTCATTCTTTCATTCACTCCTCGAACAAACATAGACCCCAGAGCCTAAGACACACCAGGCCCCACCCATCCTTAGCCTTGAAACTGCACAGATGAAGCAGAGGGATGACACCTCTGCCTTCACACAGCTGAGTTCTCCTAGGGCGGGTAAGAAAAGCCAGAGGTGAGACAGACAGGGACACGACGAAGGGCAGGGTACTTCAGAAAGGGTCACAAGGAGGCTTCCCCGAGGAAGGACATCCGTCTGGGGTGGGAGGAGGAGACGCCAGGCCAGACTCTGGGAGTGTATTGCGGGCTTTGAGGAGAAAGAGGAGAGGCATAAGGGGACCTTGTGATGGGGAAGAGGGTGGGGGATCTCATGAGAGCTTGTGCTGGAAAAGGGGTGAGAGGGGAGGCCAGGCGGCACCCCAAGGCCTTGTAGGAGTTGAAGTTGACTCTCCCAGGCTTGTGCTAAGGTAGGGGGATAAACCTAGGTTACCTTTGTTTCAGCAAGTCCTACCCTTGGCGCATTGTGTCAATCACCCGCTGTAACCACTTCGTTCAACCTCCCCAAAACCCCGGGGTGGGTCCTACAGACAAGGAGGCCAAAGCACTGAGAGGATAGGTCACTTCTTCAGCACCCAAGTTGGTGTCGGAGCTGGGGTTTTGGATGAGTAGCCCTCTCCAGATCCCTAACCAGTGGAACATTTTGTCTCTTGGGATACGACTCTCTCCCACCTCCAACAGAGGTTCCTTCAGGAAGCTGTCTCTCACCCCAGAGTTTGTTTGCTCTGATGAAGCAACATCTTAACACAAGACCTAAGCCTGTAGTGACCTTAGGAGGCCATTTCTGCCTCATTTTGCAGATGAGGCCTGCAAAGAGGCTTCTGTTGCAGTCAGTGAGGCAGGTGTGGAAACTGCAGCTGAGGTTTCCGGTTCCCCCCAACCCCGTCCCAAGCTCTCCAGTTCCCCCCGTCCCCACTTTAAGACGATTCTCAGGGTGATTCTCGTCTGTCCTCTACTCCTACCCTTGCTGCAGTCAGGCAGGGGCCTTTCCAGTGCCTACCGCAAGCAGGTGCACACAGCAGGGGCAATGGGAATGTGCTAGGCTTGGTACTGTTATCTGGGCCTTCTGCAGAGAGGTTTAGCAAGAGGAGTGTGGCTGAGGCTTGAAGTATGCTGAGGAGTTTTCTAGCGAGCCAGAAACCATCTCTGGAGCGGGAGAGGCAGCATTCCAGCCAGAAGAAACAGCATGTGCAAAGACAGAGAGGACCTGGAGATACCAGAAAGCTTGGAGCAACTCTCAGGGACAACACAGACCCCTGTTCCATTTGGCCTGAGTATGGGCAGAGGATGGGCAACAAGGCTTGGGGTGGTATCAGGGATATGTTAGGGACTCCCTGCCAGACTACAGAATTGGGGCAATCAATGGCTTGAGGGGCTGGGCAAGTAGGGAGAGGGGGAATAGAGGCCCAGTGAGCTCTGCGAGCGATTCCTGACCTGGGTAAACTGGTACCAGTCGTATGCCTTCTCTCAGCCTGTTTCTCCTTTGCACAGTTTGGGAGTGGTACACATTTTTAGAGAGCCCCCTAGCTTTGCACAGACTTACTCTGTGGTTGCTGCCCTCTTACAATCCTAACAAGCAAAGAGGCTCCTCAACTAGGTACAGAGTTTCTCTAATGCCCCGATCTTTTTCAACACATATGGCTTTGCTCTGCAATGTCGTGCCAGCGCTTTCGCAGGCCCAGGTCACAGGGGCTGCGGTTCACAGGGGAGCCTGCGTCGACATGCTCTTCTTTACCTTCAAGCCCTTCCTCCTGTGGAGTCCTATCCAGGGTAGGCTGGCATCCTGGGCCTGGGCCTGAGCATGGATGTGGCCCAGCTCTGAGGGTGGTGGAATCAGTGGGATCAACAAGGCCACCGGCCGGCATCAGTGGCCTCAGATCCTCCGCAGCCCTGGAGGAGGCAGAAGACAGGTCATCAGGATCCAGGTTGGCATTGCTCCAGCCCTCCGAGTTCTCACTGTGGCCCTCCTGACTGGTGGCTTCATTTTCAGATAAGGTGGCCACGTCGACTGTGTCTTCCCCAGAGCTGCTGTCCAAGTCCCCTGCCCTTTGGTCAGCGGCCCACTCAGACTCACTGGCTATGCCCTCCTGTCTCTGCTTGGAGCAACTCTCAGGGACAACACAGACCCCTGCCACAGGCTGAGCTGGCACCTGAGGTCTGCTCTGGCCAGTCCAGAAGAGGGTGAGCTCTTGGCGGCGGGCAGCCACAGCCAGACTGGTGAGCAGGGTACTGGACACTAAGTAGAGCAGGGCAGGCTGGCCCATCTCCATGACAGTCATGGCCAAGAAGGTGACCATCAGGCCCACGGCGTAGGCTATGGTGCAGGCTACAAAGTAGACCTGATGCGAGCGGATGTGCACGTCAAAGCGGTGACAGTAGACAACCAGGAAGCCAGGGACCACGATATCACCAAAGCCGAGGATGGAGAAGGGCTGGTCACATGGCGTCAAGGCAGAGGCACGCAGCCGGGGCACTTTGAGCATCATGGGCAGCCTCTCGTGGCTCGAGGAATCTGCCGGGCCTGAGGCAACCTCCAGCATCATGCTCTTGCCAGTCTTGGTGAAGAGGGGCGTGATGAACACAAAGAAGACATCAGAGGCCAGCAGTGTCAGCAGGAAGCAAGTGCAGTTCTTGAGTGTGGGCAGCCGCACTCGCTGCAGGACAAAGATGCAGTAAGCCACGCCCAGCGTGTCCTGCAGAAGCCATGCCCAGCGGTCCTCATTGCGGTAGGTGACCCAGAGGAGAGTTACCAGGGTGCACAGGCCCGCTAGCAGCAGCTGGGGCAGCTGCAGGTAGGCCCAGTGGCCAGGGAGGGGCCGCTGGTATCCCCGCAATGGCAGGTGTTGCGTGAGGGGAACCAGGCAACTGTAGAGGCCTGTGCTGGCACCCAGGCCAAAGATCCCAATCATGACGTAGACAAAGTAGTCGTAGAAGAAGTAGAGCAGGACCACGATGGAGAAGGACATAGTGACTGCGGCACCTGCAGTGGCCACTGTGAAGTCCACTGGACAGTCTTCATTGCCTTTGTCCTCGGGGACCCCTGCGGATCCCTCGGCTGCCACGGCCCGTGGCTCATGGTGACCATCAGGCCCCCCTCCTCCTCGTCGGGCCCGTCGCCGCTGCAGCCAAGCAGCCTCCATCGTGCCAGCCCAGTAGCCACCCACGGCCACGGTGCCCACAGCCAGGATGAAGATGACAACCAGGTTGTAGTCGATGACGGGCTCTGGGGGCGCATACATGGCCACACGCACAGTGGCGGCCCCGTGTGTGTGCCTGAGGATGTCCAGCATGTCTGTGTAGCGAAGCACAGCCACAGGGATGGTGAGGTCCGGCAGGGGCTGGTGCAGGTCCGGGGACACCGAGGTGGTATCGCAACACTGCTGGTCACCGAGCCGGCTCACGATGAGCAGCCCATGGGCTCCTTGGCCCTGAGCCAGCCAGCCCTTGTCGTAGAAGCTGCAGTTGCCCCTCATGGCCATGGCAGTGGTGTGGCGGAGGGACTGTGGTCTGGAGAAGCTGGTCTGGGCCTTGTGGAAGGGGTCCTCGCCTGGGCACCAAGATACCTTGGTGCCGTCGTATAGGGGCAGGAGTGGGGCATGGCGCAGTTCCCGGGGCAGGGTGACATAGTCAGAGCTGAACAGGATGCAGTAGTCTTTGCTCCAGGCCCCTGACACCACATGGATCACACCGTGCTCCCCCTGGGCCGCGGGGCTTCCAAGGAGGAGCGAGGCCACCAGGAGGAGGGAACCCAGGCTCGCCATCTCCCTCAGCCGCCTGCTGTGTCATCCCAAGGGGGAGCTGCCCGCCAGAGCCCAACTCTCTTCCCTGGGGTGGGTGTGGCCCATTGTTACAGAGCAGCTCTCTATCCGGGAGACCAGGGCCACACCCACTGAGTCATAAAGCTGGGTTGGTCCCAGCCAAGGCAGTGCTATGGGACACAGGGTCAATTTTATGATCAGGGTCCTCAACCTTGGCCCAGGTAGAGAGGTAATCTGGGTCCCATTCTGCCCAGGCCCCTGTGGGGACGAGACCAGGTGATCCGAAGTGAGGTGTGAGGGGATGGGACTGAGGGTGCCAGCTGGGATTCTGGACCAACGTTGCCCCTTACCCACTGGGTGACCCAGGAAGGTCACCTCTCCTCTTTGGGCTTGTTTCTCTATCTGCAAAAGGCAGGGCCATTAGGCCGGTAAATTTCCAGGCTCCTGGATCTATGCACTCAATGAGGAGTGCTTTTATTAAGCACTTACTAAGTGCCAAGTATTTTATCTACATTCACTAGATCCCTGCAAGAAGGGATTATTATAGTCACCTAGCCCAGGGTGCAAGCTTTCCTTCAAAATTGGCCCCCCTATCTACCTGGAACATGACCAAAATTCATCTCCAGCCTCCTCTGAGTTATGGATGCCACAGGGCCTATTGGCCATACCACCCTGAATGTACCTGATGTCATCCAATCTCAGAAGCTAAGCAGGATTGGGTCTGGTTAGTATTTGGATGGGATGGCCACAGGACCAGGTTCCTGCCAAGACAATGTCCTAAGAGTGAGGAGAAGGGAAGGAAGCTGGGTCCCTGGGTCTGCATGGAACAGTCAGCTGGGCAGGGAGAGAGAGAGAGAGAGAGAGAGAGAGTTGATCTTTTACATGCCATCAGCTTGCTGTGGCCTCTTTGTTATAGCAGCTTAACCTCTCCCTGATGTGCCCGTGGTCTAGAGGAGTAAAACTGAGGCTGAGAGAAGCACAAACTGACCCAGCTAAGAAGGGCCCCTGGAACCAAAAGGTAGGAGGCTTGGAGGTTGGAAAAAACTCTCTGGCTCTGATGTCCCACACTGTCCTTCCTTCTGTCTCTCACTAGCTGGCGATCAACTCCCTCTCCATCTGGTGAGGAGCTCTGCCGCCAGCTGCCACACCACGCCCTAGTGCCCCACCGTGTGCAGGGACTCTGTTTCTGAGTGGGAGCTCTTCTCCCTGGGGCCCTGGCCCAGAGCTCATGGTATGATGTGGCCCAGCCAGAGAATCTCAGTGCAGGCTCCTGCCTCCATCCCTACAGCCCCACCCCCCCAGCCAAGGCCTCCTAGCTGGGCTGCTCTGTCCTCTGCCCCAAGGCCTCCTGATGGTATGGAACAGGCTCTTGTCATTCAGACGTTGGCTGCAATGTCATCTCCATCACTGCTTCCAGAAAAGCCCAGCCTCCTCCTCATGTCACTATTGCAGCTCAGGTTTTACTTTTCCTTTCCTTTTTTCTTTTTGTACTGGGGCTTGAACCTAGGGCCTTCACCCTGAGCCACATCTCCAGCCCTTTTATATCTTTATTTTTGAGACAGGGTCTTGCTAAGTCCACGTGTTGCCCAGACTTGACTCAAACTTTTGATCCTCCTGCCTCAGCCTCCCTGAGTGCTGAGATTACAGGTGTGCACCCCCGTGCCTGGCCATGGTTTACTTTCTTCATAGCTCTGGTCCTAGGCTTAGGTTTTTGCTTACTCATGTGTTTGCCTCTTGGTTTTCTGGCTTGCACTGGGGGAGCATAATCTCTGTAAGGACAAAGATCTTGCCTGTCCGACTCACTGCTCTTGGCTTCTGGGATAAAAAGCAATGCTCATAAAATACGTGTGATGTGTGAGAGTGATCTGATTTATAATCAAAAGGACTGAGGTGCAGATGCAAGGCAGTTGTCTTCGTCACTTTCTCATCACTGGAACGCAGCAATCCTCAGCACCCACAGCTCGAAGGAGGAGAGGTTTATGTTGCCTCATGGTTCAGCCCATGCTCATCTGGCTCTCAGGTGGGATGGCAGGACAGAGGGACACAGCAGAGGAGAAACTGCTCATGTCAGGGTGGAGGTGAAATAAATGGGGAAGGGTGGAGCCAGCGGGGAGACAGATCCTCTCAAGCCACGCCTGGGAGGCCTGCCCACCTCCTAACACCGAGCCTGCAAAAGGGGCCCCGTTATTCAGTCACATTTCCCAAGCCCCACCCCTTATTTCAGGAGATGTTGGGGAGTCGCCTGGGTATAACCCATGGCACAGTTAAGGGTCTTTTCCAAGGTGAACCTTCAGTGGCAGAAACCAATTTCAAACCCAGGCTCTTGGGTGGTGGAGTTTCAGGTTCACTGTCAGACTGCTGCCTCGAGACGGTGTGGGCGATGATGACTGGGCTGGGAGAGGGGTTCATTGAGAAGGTCAGTGAAAGACCAAGATATACCATGTGGAGGTACAAGGTCCCAGTGATAGATGCAACCGTATTGTTTGCTTTAGCTGTACCAATAGACTTAATGGGGGAAGAAGTCGGTGAAAGAAAACAGCCACTGTTGGATGTGGTGGTACAGGCGGGCCTGTGATTCCAGCTATTTGGGAGGCCAAGGCTGGAGGCTGGAGACTCTGAGACCAGCCTGGGTAGTTTAGCGAGACCCTGTCTCAAAATAGAAAATAAAAAAGGGCTGAGAATGTCGCTTATAGTACAGCACCCCTGGGTTCACTAGGGTGAACCGTATCCCAACTGGTGCCCTGATCCGAAAAAGAGAACAAAATACAAAGACACAGGGGGCAGGGAGAGGCTGAAAATCATTAAATTCTCTTACTTGTTTTGCACATTCCTTGGTCTGCCTTAAGTTATCACAAACCAGTTGCTTAAAACAACAGAAATTTATTCTCTCATAGCTCTGGAGGGCAAAGGTCTGTCATGCCCTGAATGTTTGTGTCCCCATCAAAATTCATGTGTAAGGCCGGGAATATAGCTCAGTGGTTCCACTGCCTGCCTCACAAGTGAAAGGTCCCAAGTTTAATTCCCCATACAAATAAATAAATAAGTCAGGAGGAGCCTTCTCCATGGGATTAGCAACCTTCTAGAAGAGATAAGAGAGGTGAGCTCTCAGCCTTGGGAGGTGACAAAGTATTCAACTGAATTTTTTCCTAAGAAATATTTCTCCTTTTGGTGCCCCCTTGCAAGTCAAGAATCAAGTTCTCTCCAGGAACTGAACCCCCATCACCGTGATCTTGGTCTTTCCAGCCTCCCCTGAGAACTAAATATCAGTTGTTCAAGCCACCCAGTCTATGTATTTATCCAAAACAAAATCCAAAATCAAGGTTTGTCAGCAGAGCCACACTCCCTTTGAGAGACTGAGTAGACCCCTTTGCTGGTAGTGGCTAAACCTCTTACCACCTTCTTGCTTTCAGCTGTGTCCCTCCAATCTCAACCTGCATCACTTGGCATTCTCCCTGTCTTTGTATCTCTTCTCTTTTTATGATAAGGGCGCCAGTCAGGATAACTTAGGGTTCACCCTAATGATCTCATCTTAACTTGATTCCACCTGCAAAGACCCTATTTCTAAATAAGGTCACATTCACAGGCTATGAGAGTTGGGGCTACACATCTTTTAGAGGACACAGTTCCACCCACAACACATTCTATTTTAATCCCCAAAGAGCAAAAATAGTCACCGATCTTCCTTAAGGCCTCTCCTATTATGTATGAATCTTTTTTTTTCCCAATGCTGGGGATTGAACCCAGAGCTGCTTGTGTGCTAGACACTGAAGCCACACCCCCGTCATTTTCAATTTTGAGTCACCTTCCTTGAGACTCAACACTGATGAGCTCTGCCCTTTAACACCCAGCTCTAGATTCTCTGAAGTAGAGGGTGTGAATTTATAGGAACTCGGAAAGTGGTTGAGCAGCAGACCCCACTGGATTTTTGAAATCCCCTTCCCCTAATTACTTCCTCTTGCCTTGCCAACACCTAATTTGAACCACTGTCTTCTTTGAGATTCATTTATATTGTCTTTTTCAAAGTCTTCATCTGAATTTTTGTAGGAAACACTTCTCCTTATTGGTGTACTTTTGGTTTATCCACTAGTATAACATTTAATTAGATTATAAACAGTAATTACAGTAACAAGCGAACTGTCAGAAACGCATTAGGGGACGAGTACAACCTACTGCCTGGTGACGGGAAGAGGTGGGCAGGGAGCAGTCTCGTTGCAGAGGGAACGTGTTGTATCCACCGGTTAGGGGGCAGTTCTACTGGTTTGTGGAGTTCTTATGACAGCATGCGGCGGTGCCATCATTGGGTCCACTTGTCTGAGTTCCACTGTCTAGAAGCCAGCCAGGTGGGCAGCCCCTTGCTGAGGGAGGTGAAAGTAAAACTCTCAGCCCCCATCTAGGATGACCCAGACATACACTCAGGGCTCTGCTCCCAAGAAGGGAGCCCAGGGTCTCTTAGAAACCAGGGACCGACACACCCACTGGAGTGGCTGTCACCCACAGTCAGGATCGAGTGAGGATGTGGAGAATAGAACCCTCGTACCCAGCGGTGGGGATGCCAGTGGTGCAGCCCCAAGTACACACAGAGTTAACACAGGGCCCAGCAATCCCTCTCCTAGATGTGCATCCGTAAGAACTGAAATCAGGCGTTCAAGGAAAATGTGTTCATCACCGCAGCAGCACAGGTTGCCATCACTTGCGATCGGGGCTCAGAACCCAAGTGTGCATCCACTGACTGACAGGATGTGGCCCAACCATACCATGTGAAATCAGCCAGCCCTAAGCAAGAGTGACCTTTTGACCCATGCTACAAGGTGTATGGATCTTGAAATATCATGGTAAGGGAAAGAAACCAAACAAAAGAAGAAATATTGTCTAATGGATTCCACTTATTTGAAATATCCAGAAGAGGCAAATCTCTAGAATGCAGACTTATGACAGCCAGGGGTTAGGGGATCAAGAAGTGGGAAGTGACTGCTTGTTGAGTATGCAGTTTCCAAATGGGGTGAAGAAAACATTCTGGAACCGGATAGTGGTTGACATCTGCACATGCTGATATATAACAATTACACGTATTTATGGGGTGTTGATGCATTGAGTGCCATTAAATTGTACTCTTTAACGTGGCTGAAATGGTAAGTTATTTTACCACAATTTCTAAAAAAGGACCAGCTCCAGGCTCCTCCAGCAGCGTTGTCCCCCAGACAAGTCTCATTTCAATTCCTTGAGACCCTCAGTCCAGAATATGTCCCATCAAGAAACACTGCCTCATCCCCCAGCTTGCTTCTGTCCCTCCTCCCAGATCTACCTTGGGCTTCAAGAATTCTCCTAAGGATCCTTCCCTCTCCACATCTCTTCCTGGGACCCAGCTTGCTAAAAGTTTTCAGGGACCAGCCCTGGCACTCTTCCCCAGAACTCCAGCCCTCCCTGACCCTACCACCAGCCCATCAACCCTGAAACTGCCCTTCTGTGTGGCCACTTGGTGCCTGGTTAAGGCGTTCACATGAGTGCCTAGTGCCTTTTGTGTAATTCAGTTCCTAGACTCTGCAGATGCCACCCTCTGTAGCCTCCAGGTGGACTCCTTTCCTCAGTGCCACCCCCTGCAAGGCCACCTTTGCCCTCACTCACTGTTTCCCTCAGTTAGGGCCTGCTCTCCATTTGGACCTAGGTGCCACCTGGAGCGTTCATCTCTGCCCACTCAGGACAGTGAGGGCAGCAGACCCCAGGTGGTGAGACTCAGCCCAGGGCTGTCACTCAGGAAGCAAGGAGGGGGCCCAGCTTCCTGGCCTCTCCTTCTGCCCTGGCTTGTTGGCCCAGCATCTTTCCACCTGCATGAACTGGAGATGTGCAGGCCTGAAGAGACTAGATTACTGACTGCGCCCTCCTCCCGACTACTTCCTGTGTTCCCTATCCTTGGAACGAAGGCAGGAGAGGCAGGAGGAGCGCATGGTCCCCTCTAACCCACCCTGGCTGGCTGCCTACCTTGTTCCTCATCACCCACAGGTCCCTAGGAGGGCCCCCTGCTCCTTCCTGCCTCCCTTGGCCCAGTGAGCAGAGTCTGGGCAGCAGGGGTCTGTCCAGGACCCCTTAGATAGACAGATGGGAGTTGATTATCACACGGACAGCTTTGAAAAAAGAGAATGGCCCAGGCCTCTCTTGACTCTGAGTGTCAGCAGAATCCACAGGGGTTGGTGGGCCTGGGGGAAGCTGGGAGCAATGCTCTGAGGTAGTGCAGGGATGGCTGGGGACACGAGATGGGGACAGCCCGAGGCCTGTGCTCTGCAGGCTCTGGCTCTTCAGCCAGATCAGGTCTGAGTGCTATTTGTTCAGACTGGGAACCTGGAGAACATCCTCGGATAGGTCACTATGCAGGGTAGAGGGGCAGGGAGGGCAACCTTGCAGATTTCCTGCTGCATGGGGGTTTCGTGGAGGCCACTTTGGGTTCTCATTTGGCCATGACACTGCTGGGGCCCTCAGACAGTCTCTTCAGCTTTTCCCATCTGTGGAATGGGGATAATAGCGTCCACTCCACAGGGCAGTGTGAAGAGTGGATGGGGTTCCTGTATGAGGCCCGGCTCCCTGTGAACCCCGAGGAGCGATCAGGATTGCTGCAGGTGAGCTGCAGGAAACACCCAGTCTGTTCCGACTCTGTGCAGCAGTTGAGTTTGAAATCAGGGGGCTGGACAGGATGACCCTGAGACACCCCTGGGCTGGAGACCAGGGCACCCCTCGCAGGGGCCAGACTGAGTGTGGGAGGGGTGCAGGGGAGGCCTCTGTAGCTTCAGGTGGTCTGAGCTGCATGGTTTGTAGTTCAGCTTCATTTTCAGGAGTGCAGGAGTGGGGGTGCTGGGTACACAGAGCCCTCATTGCTCCCACCAGCTGGGCCCAGTGTCTGCATACCTGCCGGGTGACCTTTGTGGGCCCTCTCCTCAGGCGGGGAGTGTTTCAAGTTAATTTGAAACCCAAAGGCCTCTTCGCTGTTCCCTTGAGCCAGTGATGCCTTGTTGGTACCAGACCGGAGTTCAAAGGGGAGCCCAAGGCCTTCTGCCCCAGAAGAGTTGCTAAGTCTGTTTCCTTGGCTCCAAAATGCTCTGGGTCCCACCTCCCTGGACTAGTTGAGGATTAGATAATACACGTTATTAAGGACTTTATAGATTGCAAAGCAATGTTCAGATAGCTCCAGTTAAGGTATTATAATCTGGATTTCAAAGCCTTCCTTTCCTGGTACATGGCTTCCTGAGATCTGTTTCCTAGTCCTGGGCCTGGGGTGGCTGACCTGTCAGCACAGGGCCCTGGAGAAGTGGCTCAGGACCTTCGGAAGGGGCTGTGATGTCCCTCAGGGACAGGAGCCTAACTAGAGAGTAGTGCAACTTTCTCCCATCACCGTTCTGTGCCCACAGGGAGGACCTCAAGGAGAAATGGGCTCAGGCACAGGCATTGCTATGGGACTTTGGCTTCTGGGTGTGACCTGGAGAAAATCCTTCTGGGCCTGAAAGATAGGCTTGACTGGGTCTTGGAGGACTTCGGTGACCCCTGCCCTACAACTGAACTGCCCAGCCCCTCCCCACTGGCAGTGGACAGTGACATGTGTCATATCCCCACTGGCTCACACCTGGGGCCTTCCCGGGATGCCCGGCTCAGACGCCTGGGCCTGGACCTCCTGGACCCTGCCCTGAAGCTAAGAACAACACACACAGCAGGCAGCAGAGCTTTACGCCCCTCCTCCTGGGTCTCTCTGAGGTGAGTGGCTGTCCAGGGACACTCTCCAGCTTCTCTGGACGGCAGCCTGGCCCTGGCCCTCCTGGCCCAGGGGCTCTGACCAGGTCCGTGCTGTCTGTCCGAGGTAGCCGTTTGCCTCTCTCCTCCCATGGCCCAGTGCTGTGCTGAGTGCACAGTAGGCACCCAGAGGGTGCCCAGCAGCTGCACCAAGCAGGAGGCACAACAGGAAGGAGCCAGTGAACAGGCTCAGATCCCGCCCAGCCCCTCGGAGGCGCCTCCCTCCTTGGGCTGCACGTCGGTCCCTCCACATAGTCCAGGAATACCTCACCTCTCATTCATCCTGCAGCTGTGGCTACTTGACACTCAGCAGTCACTTCTGGTCCCTTTGTCAGGTAGGAGGGCTAGTCCCTGTACCTAATCCCCACCCCAGTGAGTGCTCTAGAAGCCGTCATCCCATCCCTGTCCTGGTGTCCCCTGGCTCCCCCTCATCTCTCCACTTGGAAACCGGCAGGGCAGGGCACCCCTAGGACCCATCCTCATCTCCTCCAGACGCTGCGCCACTGTGGAGTTTGTGACAGCCATTTGGATCTGGAACAGTGTGTGTGTGTGTGTGTGTGTGTGTGTGTGTGCGCGCGCGCGTGTGTGTGTGTGCGTACATGTGCAGATGCTCATACACTTCTACACAACCTTCCTCCCTGGTCAGGGGCCCTTGTGAGTGTCTGGTGTCTCACCCACACTCCATGGCATGGAACCCACCTCACACTGCCTTCTCCTGACTTTCCAGTGCTGGCCTGAGGGCTCTCAGATGCTCTCTGTGCGTGGGACGCGTGCCTCACGAGGCAAGGAAGGGCAGGGTGCAGTCCGCCCCCAGCTTCCCCAGATGAAGCTCAGCGACCTGCAGCTGTACTGGTGGATCACACACCCAGGCTTCCTGCCTACCCTCCTTGCCCGACCTCACCGGTCCTCCCTCTCCCTGTTCTCTCCTTGAGTTTATAATAGAGACCTGGTCTCAAGGCCAGCTTCTGGGGGGTCGTAGTGTAGGACAGCATCTCAGGTCTGCTCAGCCTCCCCAACTTCCTAACCCTGTTGGCCGCTTCTCAGCTTGGGTTTCCCCAGGGCAGGGCCTCACTCCTGCTTTGTCCTCTTACTGCTGCAATCCTCTCCTGCAGCTTTAACACTTCTCTCCCTGACTTTCCCCTTTGCCAAGAGCTGTCCTTTACTAACCAGCCTGGCCAGACCTCTCTTCCCTCTAAGCTCTCCAGTTCCCCCTCTCAGCCCGTGTGTGCCTGCCAGAGACGAGGTGTGAGTAGTGTCAGGTTTCTCAGCAGCACGATGGCCCTGGAAGGCTGAAAAGGGTGCCCACTTCTCTAAGGCCCCCTCTCCCCCTCCGCAGTGGCACACAGGCCTTCACAAATGCTGGCTGAAAAGATAAATATTATTATATACATAGTCTTCCCCCTTGCAGACGGCACCCTTATCTCCTGGTTCCCACCCCTGAGCGTGCTCTGTAGCCCAACCCTCTGGACATGGCATCCTGCTGGGGGCTGGTCATTCTGCCCCGGAACAGGGCAAGCTCAGTACCAGCTGGATGTGCCAGGAGCTGGACGTTCCACTTGTCCTGTCCAGGGCACTTGGGCAGAAAGGGGCCCTTTCCCTTTGCTCTGCTGGAGCGCCTGGCCCAAAGCAGCAGGTTCTGCGTCCTTCGAGGGAGGCTGGCCTTGGCTGGGGCACATCCACACACCACTGCAGTGCCCAAATGGGGAGATACCCAGAGGCAGGACGTGAGGGTACTGTTGGTGGGTAAGTGAGGGGAAGCTGGGGTGACCTACAGGGCAGTGAACATCCGTGGGCGCAAGGCAGCAAGGCAGGGCATTTGTAGTGGCAGTGCCACGGTGCCGATGGTGTTTTGGTGACTTGGGAGTGGTCCAATATCTGATGATGTCACCTGATTTCTCATGATGTCTCCAGGGCTCTCTACTTGGTTCTCAGTGGTGTCCAAAGACACTGCTAAGGCCTGGGCATTGCGGTGATTGGATGCTGTCACGCGAGTTTTCCGTGGTGTCCTGGGGCAGTGAGTCACCTCCCTACAGTCGCAGGGAAGCCCAGGTCTCTGTGCTCTGTGAGAAGACAGCTCTAAGAGGGCCCTGGGTGCTGTGGTGGCTGGTCCAGCTTTCCACTTCCATCCCGTTCCCATCGAGGACTTGGGGCAAAGGGGGGCCAGAGGCCCTGGGCCCAGCCAAGCCCTGTAGGCCACAGTGCAGACATCAGCATAGAAGGCCTGCTGCTTTGGGATGTATGGGCCCCCCCAGACTTCCGGGGCTGCTGCTCCTCGGGGAGAGGTGCTGGTTGTCCCCGTATATGGGGTGGTCAGTGAGCCTGGCCATCGTCTTCCCGGCCACAGGTCTCTGGGCTGCTTTGCATGGCCTGTAGCTCAGAGTGCTGTAGACTGCTTGATGCTGTGGAAGCTGACCCGGGTCGGGGAGGTGGGGATAGACATGGCACGGGCCACCCGGGCACGGATGGAATGTCTGTCTTGCCATCGGTGCCACCTCTTGCGGATAGCAGAGCGGACCTGTGGACACAGGGCAGAGGCTGTCAGAAGCAGAGGAGCAGCGTGGCTGACACTGTTGAGTTGCATATTTGTCAGGTTTTTGGCCCACAGGAAGCACCACCCAGGGCTCCACCTTCCCAGTTTTCAGACTCTTTTGCAAGACCAAAGCCCCGGCTTTCAGTCCCCTGTGCCCACTGCCCGTGGGGCAAAGGGTTGCCATCCCAGGGGCAGAGTGGGCAGGGGCAGGCATTTCCCGGCATCATCCCACACCAACCCAGGAGCAGGGAGCAAAGCCTGCCCCAGGTATAGGAGGGCGACAGTCCCAGGGGCCTCCGAATTGTAAGCCCAGTCCCCACCTGGGTCCTCACCTCGCTGTTGAGGAAACAGTAGAATACGGACACGAAGAAGCCCTAGAGGACAGAGGTCAGTCAGAGGCCCGTGTAAGTGGATCTCCCTGGCCCTGGGCCGCCCCCAGCCTCCTGGACCTCTAGACCTCTTTTGAGAACCCCCACCCTCAAGAAGCAGGCGCACACCTGGCCCTACACAGATGGGGCTGGCCAGGCCCAAGGCAGGGAGAGAGGCCATACCTGAAAGGATTCCAGGAAGGAGTTGAAGTAGATGAAGACGACCCGGGAGACTTCATCCTCCCCAGGGTTGACAAAGAACAGCATGTAGGTGATTCCCAGGAGAGGCAGTAGCACCAGAGTGGCCTTCACAGCCTTCCTGGGGGTGCGGATGGGAGGCCCCCAGTCAGAACCCAGCCGGAAGAGGTTAGGCGTCTGGCTGGTAACAAGGACCGGGCCTGGGGAAGGGGGCCAGATCTCGGACATGTCTGAGGTGGGGGAGCTGTGGATTCAGGAGGCAATGCCAGGCCTCAGAGGCAGGGACTCTGACAGCCCCGTGGGTGGGGGCGGTGGGAGCCAGGTACCTGTACTGGATGGTCTCAGATGTGGTGGACGCCCGGAGTTTGGTCATAAGGATGCGGACGATGTTGAAAAGGAAGATAAAGTTGATCTGCAATTTGAGCACACCAATGGGGACCGGGAGTGCGGATGTGCTCAGGGTGTGGGATGGGGGACAGGACACGCCCTCAGCCTTCTCAGTTCTGCACAGACGGCACCCTTATCTCCTGGTTCCCACCCCTGAGCGTGCTCTGTAGCCCAACCCTCTGGACATGGCATCCTGCTGGGGGCTGGTCATTCTGCCCCGGAACAGGGCAAGCTCAGTACCAGCTGGATGTCAGGAGCTGGTTGACCTACAGGGCAGTGAACATCCGTGGGTGCAAGGCAGCAAGGCAGGGCATTTGTAGTGGCAGTGCCACGGTGCCGATGGTGTTTTGGTGACTTGGGAGTGGTCCAATATCTGATGATGTCACCTGATTTCTCATGATGTCTCCAGGGCTCTCTACTTGGTTCTCAGTGGTGTCCAAAGACACTGCTAAGGTCTGGGCATCGCGGTGATTGGATGCTGACGCGCGAGTTTTCCGTGGTGTCCTGGGGCAGTGAGTCACCTCCCTACAGTCGCAGGGAAGCCCAGGTCTCTGTGCTCTGTGAGAAGACAGCTCTAAGAGGGCCCTGGGTGCTGTGGTGGCTGGTCCAGCTTTACTTCCATCCTCGCGGTGATTGGATGCTGTCACGCGAGTTTTCCGTGGTGTCCTGGGGCAGTGAGTCACCTCCCTACAGTCGCAGGGAAGCCCAGGTCTCTGTGCTCTGTGAGAAGACAGCTCTAAGAGGGCCCTGGGTGCTGTGGTGGCTGGTCCAGCTTTCCACTTCCATCCCGTTCCCATCGAGGACTTGGGGCAAAGGGGGGCCAGAGGCCCTGGGCCCAGCCAAGCCCTGTAGGCCACAGTGCAGACATCAGCATAGAAGGCCTGCTGCTTTGGGATGTATGGGCCCCCCCAGACTTCCGGGGCTGCTGCTCCTCGGGGAGAGGTGCTGGTTGTCCCCGTATATGGGGTGGTCAGTGAGCCTGGCCATCGTCTTCCCGGCCACAGGTCTCTGGGCTGCTTTGCATGGCCTGTAGCTCAGAGTGCTGTAGACTGCTTGATGCTGTGGAAGCTGACCCGGGTCGGGGAGGTGGGGATAGACATGGCACGGGCCACCCGGGCACGGATGGAATGTCTGTCTTGCCATCGGTGCCACCTCTTGCGGATAGCAGAGCGGACCTGTGGACACAGGGCAGAGGCTGTCAGAAGCAGAGGAGCAGCGTGGCTGACACTGTTGAGTTGCATATTTGTCAGGTTTTTGGCCCACAGGAAGCACCACCCAGGGCTCCACCTTCCCAGTTTTCAGACTCTTTTGCAAGACCAAAGCCCCGGCTTTCAGTCCCCTGTGCCCACTGCCCGTGGGGCAAAGGGTTGCCATCCCAGGGGCAGAGTGGGCAGGGGCAGGCATTTCCCGGCATCATCCCACACCAACCCAGGAGCAGGGAGCAAAGCCTGCCCCAGGTATAGGAGGGCGACAGTCCCAGGGGCCTCCGAATTGTAAGCCCAGTCCCCACCTGGGTCCTCACCTCGCTGTTGAGGAAACAGTAGAATACGGACACGAAGAAGCCCTAGAGGACAGAGGTCAGTCAGAGGCCCGTGTAAGTGGATCTCCCTGGCCCTGGGCCGCCCCCAGCCTCCTGGACCTCTAGACCTCTTTTGAGAACCCCCACCCTCAAGAAGCAGGCGCACACCTGGCCCTACACAGATGGGGCTGGCCAGGCCCAAGGCAGGGAGAGAGGCCATACCTGAAAGGATTCCAGGAAGGAGTTGAAGTAGATGAAGACGACCCGGGAGACTTCATCCTCCCCAGGGTTGACAAAGAACAGCATGTAGGTGATTCCCAGGAGAGGCAGTAGCACCAGAGTGGCCTTCACAGCCTTCCTGGGGGTGCGGATGGGAGGCCCCCAGTCAGAACCCAGCCGGAAGAGGTTAGGCGTCTGGCTGGTAACAAGGACCGGGCCTGGGGAAGGGGGCCAGATCTCGGACATGTCTGAGGTGGGGGAGCTGTGGATTCAGGAGGCAATGCCAGGCCTCAGAGGCAGGGACTCTGACAGCCCCGTGGGTGGGGGCGGTGGGAGCCAGGTACCTGTACTGGATGGTCTCAGATGTGGTGGACGCCCGGAGTTTGGTCATAAGGATGCGGACGATGTTGAAAAGGAAGATAAAGTTGATCTGCAATTTGAGCACACCAATGGGGACCGGGAGTGCGGATGTGCTCAGGGTGTGGGATGGGGGACAGGACACGCCCTCAGCCTTCTCAGTTCTTGCCTTGATGTCCCCCACTGCTCTCTCTCTCCACCGCATTAACACCTGCGCTTTCCTAGCCTGGGTCCCTTCCTGGAATGGTCCCCACCTCTAGGCAGAGGGTCCTCTCTGTCTACTGCAGATACTGACGGCCCTTTCCTACTGCACCCCATCTCCTGTCCCCACCGAGGTTCTTACCAGCAGGACCAAGATCATGGGGCCCTGGTAGATGTAGTCAGTATACACTCCAGGCCTTTTGCCAAACCAGCACCTAGAGAGCCAGAGTGAGGAGGGGAGGGGTCATCCAGGTCCACTTCGGAGGCATGGGGAGGGGCAGGGCTTGGTCAGGGTAGGACTGGGGCTGACAGTATAATGTGGGCGCCCTAGTTCCAATCCTGGCAGAAGTTCAAGCCGGTTGATCCCAGTGCAGGGACTCAGTTATCCCACCTGCAACACGGACAGCATCTTCATTGTGAGACGTGGAGTTTGGAAGCAAGCTACGGCAGGGAGATGGACTGTGAAAAGAAGCGCTTTCTGGCCTAGGACCAGACTGAGGCCCAGTACGGGACTGATTCCTCCGTTTCCCCTTGTGGCCGCTGCTGGCTGTGGCTGAGCATGTTCACTGGGGTGCTCCTGGAGTGGGCACCCTCTGAGTCCATTCCAGTACAGCCTAAGTGACCTTAAGGCAGAGAATTTCACAGGTACTACCTATTGCAGAAGGCAGAGCTGCTTTGCATCATCCTGAGTCCTCCAACTCCTTCCAGCAGGTGGGTGGTGATACAGCTAGATCTCATTACACTTTCGTAAACCAGAGAGTGAGATTTTTATGAAAAATCTCTTGAGTTTTTAAAAGATTGGCCACAAGAATCAAGTTTTAAAAAAATATGACACAGGCCAAACACAACTGCCTTCGGACCAGATTCAGCTCTCCACCCTGGTCTGCGCCGTCTTTCTAATTTCTCAGGTCTATTTATTCTTGGCTGCAGTGTCTGCATTGTACCACTAGATGGGGCTTCAGAGCCACTCAGACCCACTTTCTACTCCAGCCCAGGCCTCATTTTCCTCTACACACACACACACACACACACACACACACACTGAAGACATGGAAGAGAATTTTCCAGAGTCCCCAGGAACCCAGTGAGGCTGTGGTGTACTCTCTGGGGAGGGGAGGGGCTGCAACTATGGTTGAAGGTGCCTGGACCTGCAGTCAGCTGGTCCCAAGAACACTTCTCTGCAAAGATCTTAGCTTCTCCCCTGGCTGGCTATGTTGGCCTTTCATTCTGTCTCTCTAAGGTTCTCAATCTTAGCTGCACATGGGGCAGTTAAAAAAAAAATTCCTGGTGCCCAGGTCATACCCCAAACCAATGGCATCCAGCTGTTTGGGGCAAAGCCTGGGCATCAGCCCTTTCTAGAGCTTCCTAGGTGATTCTTGTGGGGCATGGCTGAGAAATCCTACAGCAGAACTCTAGTTTTCAGGGGTGTCTGGGAACATATGTCTCCTTTACAGGGAACCCCAGGCTTCAGAGCTGCAGAGCCTCTGAGACTGTGTGACGGATCAGTTTCTATTAAATCTGTGGAAGCTTTTTGTTGCAACAATCTCAATGTCAGTGAAAACCTTTATGTAGCACTCTCCATATGTCAGTACTTCATATGGATTAATGGGTGTCACTCCCACCACAAGTTTCTCAAGTAAGTGCTATTAGGACATCCATTTTGCAGATGAGGAGACCGAGGCACACTACAGTAATTAGGCCAAGGTCATGGAACTATTTACCAGTGGAGCCACCATGAAAGGACTATCTGGAGCAGGCTGACTCCAGGGTTTCCTCTCATTAAAGGTCAAGGAAGGTAAAGGAGTTCGGACCCAGATTGTCTAGTTCCCCCGCTGGCCAAGCACTGGTGGGGCCTCTTTGAACTGAACTCAGCCGCAACTCTCTGCCTTTGCAGATTCAGAAGCCAAGGTCTCGACAAAACAGCAGAATGGCCCAAAGCTCTTGGGGGGGCACCAGGCAGAGCTGGGCTGTGGGGCTCAGGAAGGACAAGGAGGTAACTCACTTCTCATTGTCGTAGTACAGCTTCCCGATGGCCCAGGCCACAATGATGGGGAAAGGCACACCTGAGAGAGAGGGCGCAGCTGTCACAGAGCCCATGGGCAGGTGCCGGAGGACCCCAGTGCAGCCCAGGTCTCCCTAGAGGGGTCACTAGGGGTTGCGGTTAAGCTTGAGCTCACACACCTTCGGGATCCCCCTGCCCCATTCCCGAGGAAGGTGTGCACTCCACTGTCCCGGGGGCTTTGGTCTCCAAATGCCCAGCCGGCCAGCCTGCCCCGATGGGAGGGCAGGCAGGAAGCCCATGGGCCTACCCCAGCCGATGCAGATGAACATCCACTTGCGCAGCCGGTCGGTGGAGTAGGTGAGCACTATGGCTGTGTGCAGGTAGCAGCCCTCGCCGAACATCCAGAAGAAGTTGGTCACGTGGAAGTAGTTATAGGCGGCTGTCACCAGCCTGCACCAGCCCTACCCCCCACCCAAGAGAGGATGAGGAGCAGGGTGAGTGGGGAGCAGTGTAACCCCCCACCCTGGGCCTGGACCTCTTGGGGACCCTTTCCCTGTTCTGTGACCCCTCTTCGGGGCAGCTACACCTGCGCCCTCCTCTGCCCCTGGGCTCAGCCCCCTCCCTGGCAAAACTGACCACGTTGCTCTGGTGGACCTCGGGGCTCATGGTGCGCTGGACCACAAACCATGTGGCATTTCGCAGGATGAAGGCCGAGATGAGGTTCCAGTGGATGATGTTTCTCAGGCACCGGATGCTCCTGGGGCGACAGGTCAGGCATGAGGCCAGAGCAACAAGAGAGAGGATCAAGGACCGGCTGCTCAAATATATAGGTGGGGAAACGAAGCCTCTAAGGAAGGAGGTGGACTGGACAGGCCTCACAGGCAGCAGCAAGGCTCTCCTGAAGCCTCATGGGGCCTCCTTGCCTGTGGTCACCCAGACATAAGCTCCTGGGGGCAGAGCCTGGCATGGTCCCTGGGCCAGGTCTGCTTGGTTACTGGGGCTGATGCTCCCCAACCCCCAGCTGTTCCAGGATTAAGTCAGAGGGTGGCAAACCTAAGAGTGAGAAGCCCCTCTGGCTTTCAGCCCTCTGCTCTTGCCCCCACCCGGCCCCACTCCATGGCCCTACCACCTGGGCCCTTGCACATTTAAACCTGAGGTGAGATGCCACTGCAACAGGCCCCACCTCAAAGGCCCCACCTGCCACATGAGCACAGAGCAGCCTAGGCATAGGTGACCCAAATGGGTACCGACCAGTTTATGTCTAGGTGACATGGCTGAGCCAGGGCAGAAGTGGCTCTGCCAGAGGCTCCAAAAGAACCTAGATCCCCGTGTCTGCTACCCCTTGCACCGAGGCCAGGGCAGGATACCCCTTCCTAGCGCCCCATCCTGGAGACATCCTTCTATCTTACTCCTCCACTCTGCTTGACGGCACGGGGGCAACAGAAGGCAGTTCGAGGGCCTTCTCACCTGAGCCGCAGAAAGAGGACGAAGGCCACCAGGAGGGCTACCAGAGAGATGCAGTGGCCCAAGTAGTTGATGATGACGGCGATGTGGTAGTGCACTTTGCTCTTCTTCTGCGGCAGGAGAAAGGGGCAGAGGTGAAGCCCCTGCACAGTCATGCCCCTGTGCCCGCCGGGTATGCACATGCAGACAGTGCCCAGGCAGCAGGGACAGACTCGGTGATAATGACAGGTCCCCTGCCCCAGGCCCCTGAGAGCCTTAGAGTAGAACTGGCAACCCTAGGCCCAGTTCACTGCTCCGTGTCGTTGGGCACATGGGGGGGGTGAATGCCATGCACCACATCCCAAGGGCCCCCTCGCTGTGTGCACCCCCGTGTATGTCCACCCGCAGACGGGCTCACACTTGCTTGCACTCCCCTTCTGCCCCAACACCAGGTGGTCTCAGTGAGACCCCAGCCCTCACGGACCTCTTTTCCTCTACCCATTCTGAGTTGGATCCCCATCCTCTGGGATACCCCCAAGGCCCTCCTGTGGCAGCTGAAGTCGGCTCCTAGTCACTGGAAGAGGGAGGAGCAGAGCTATAAGTCTGAATTCTTAGCAACCGCACAAACATTCCCTGTAGGCTCTGCCACTCACTTCCCAGGGTCTTTCCCTCCCCCAGACCAGGTGTCTGCTGGAAGTGATTGATTCTTCAATCTCCTGATCTTATGTCTTAATTACACGTGTTAACGGAAGCTACTGACCCCTCTTTCTAATGATCGTAAGCTCCAACACTTAGGAAGCCTTCCTGATTACAGAGGGTTTTCACACATGGTATCTGCTCAAACCTATACCATGACCCCATGGGAAGAGCCAGAGGGGCACCTGTAACTTAATTTTGCAGAAAAGGAGGGACATTCCCTGCTGGGAACGGCGCTGCACACCTATAATCTCAGGACTCGGGAGGTTGAGGCAGAGGATCAGCACAAGCTCAAGGCCAGCCTTGGCTACATAAAGAGTTCAAGATCAGCTGAACTACATAGCAAGACCCTGCCCCACCTACCACCCTCTCCGCAAAAAGAAAGAGAGACCCAGAAGTATGCTGACTGGCTCACAATTGTCCAACTTCAACTTCAGAACCACCTCTGACCTGCACATTCAGATTGGCAAAATGGTACGGTTACAAACAGCCCCCATCCCATGGGGAGGGATCAGCCAGTCCCCAGCGCGAGGCTCTCTCAAGATTCCTGTCCCCCATCCCGGAGCAAAGTCCCCATTCACCCTTTTCTACATCCCAGGAAGGCATGGTCTGGAACCCACAGATCTTTCTGCTGGAATGTCAGACTCTACTGGAGTCAGAGCTGTCCTCAGGGACCAAGTCAGATCCACTTAACTTCGGGAAGAGGAAACTGAGGCTCTAAAACACCCCAGAACAAGGGATGCGCCTCAGTAGGGGAGTAGCTGGCAGGAAAACCAGCAGGGCCAAACCCTTCCCCGTGTGCCCCTTCCCCACCGTGCCCCTTCTAAAGGGGTGAAGATGCCACAGTGCCAGGCAGCTCTGGCTACTCTCTTCTGGGAAATGGTTTTGGGCTTTTAGGAACATGGCAGGAAATCACTTTAGCAACTCAGGCCTCAGAAGGGCTGGATCTAGGGAGGAGACACAGGCAGAGGGACAGGAGCCATGCAACTAGGAGGGTCTCTAAGCCCCTGTGGCAGATGCTGCAGGCTGAGGCACCAGAAGATATGCACACATCAAAGTCTGTTTGGAGCTGGTACTTAATGTCCTCTTATTAAATTTCCCATAAATCAATGCTGAGAAGCCCCTGGGTACTAACAACATCTGCAGAGCCAAGAATGGCATGGATTCCAGCTTCATTTACAGGCCAAGGTAGGATCAGTGAGCTGAGGTGCAGGGAGTTCCTTCTATCTGGAGCCGGGTATGCCTGGGTCATATGGTTTAGGTGGGGCCGTTAATTAAGCACCTACTATATCTGGGCCCTGTGCCAGATGGCTCACTGATGTCTTTGCTTTTCTTTCTCACAATGAGGCCTTGATACTGGTCCTCGTTCCTCTGTCTTCTCACTGAGCAATCAGCATAGTTGGCCCAAGCCAGCCAGCCAGCACTTGGAACCTGGGCCGGCTGGCTGTAAAGTCCCTCTTGTCTCTGTACTTGGGTACCTGGGGGACAGAGAGGGACCTGCTAACAGAAACATTCTCTGGGGAGTGCTCCTCTGTGCTGGCCCAAGGTCCTTGGAGGGCTTCTGCGGGGCAGGGGGTGGCTTTTCTCATGGAGTCTGAAAGGGGACAATGAGGCCAAATGGTACCTGAGGGACAGAAGCACTGTGTGACTTCTGGAGCTGTGGGGCCGGGTGGATTCAAGCTCTGTCTCTCACTTACACTGAAAAGAAAGTCGGAGAAGACAGCTAGAGAGACAGCAGCGTAACCCAAGAGAGACCGGGAACACCCTGAGAGATGCCCACTGCTATGATGTGAACTGACCCCCCAGTGTGGAGGTGCTGTGAGGTGAGGTTTTGTTCAGAAAATAAGGGCTTTGCCCTCAGGAGTGGGTTAATGAAGTTATTTCTGGAGCAGGCTTATTTTTTCAGGAATGGGTTCCTTATAAAAGCAAGCCCCAGCCCCCCCAGGCTTTCTCTTGCCTTCTCTTTGCCCTTCCATCATGGGATGATGCAGTCCTCATATCTTGGACTTCCCAGCTTCCAGAATCAGGAGTTGATAAACTGTTCATTATAAATTCCCCAGTCTTGGGTATTCATTCTGTTACAGCCACATAAAGCACGCTAGTGGGTCACCAACATCCCGAGAAAGGACTGCCTCAAGATACCCAAACAGCACAGCTAGTGATGCTGAGAAACATCCGCGAGCAAGCAGAGATCTGACCAGCACTGTCTAGAGACTCAGCAGTACCTTGATGGACCCACAACACCCTGGGAGGTGGCCAATAACACCCCAAGAAAAAGGCAGCCGGCAACATCCCCAGGGGCAGTCAGTGACCTTCATGAGAGGCCCGATGGCACCCAGAGACAGTCTGTGACTGCCTGAGAGGCAGCCAACAAGAGCTGCAGAAACAGCTGGATGCCTGGGACAAATGGGCAAAGCCAGCCCCAGGGAAGCTTGACCAGCCCTCTGTCCCTGTCCAGTCTGCAGACCTGAGACCAGCCAGTTCCCCAAGGAAGGCGGGACAGTGAGCACTGAGCAGAGACCACGGTGTTGTGCGCTCCATGGCCACAGTCTAACGAATAATTGCTGCCCATCTGATTCTGCAGAACACTTTGTCTCAAGTGGCAGTGGTACAAGACCCGTCCCAGTGCCCTGCCAGGATGGCAACAGTGAGATCACCACTGCCCCTTCCAAGTGACACAGCCTAGGGCTGGGGACTTAACTCTGGTTTCGCTGCCTGCCTCACACGTGAGTTGAATCCCTGGTAAATACAAACAAACAAAAAAAAACAATCATCCCCTCTCATTCCTGCTCACCTGCATTATCACTGTTCCTCTCCCCTAGGTTTCCTGAGCTGCTCCCCTTTCCCCTCCAGCAGACACCCCAGCCTCTTGCTCCTCAGAGCAACATTTGCACCCAGGACCTTGTAGAAGTCTTAGCCCCATTCCAGAGTCACAGAATTGGAATCTCCGCTTCAGCAAGAACCTCAGAAGGCTCCTAAGTACCACGATGTTTCAGAAGCCCTGGTCCTACCACACCATCCCCAGCCCTGACGACCTGGTCTGCAGACCCAGAGCCCCGGAGACCCTTTTGTGTCCCCAAGATGAACCCTCCAAAGTTGTGCTCCAGACCCAGAGTCCTGCTCAACAGAGTGTGGGGGAGGGGATGGGGCGTGTGCAAGCAAGGAGAGTAGGAGGGTCAGGGACAGAGCCACTCAGTAGTGGGAGACGGTGTGTGTGTAGGGGGTGCTGCTGTGGGAACTGGGGCCGAGTACGGGGCAGTGCTGGGGGCTCTGTGCCATCCGTAGGCCAAGCCAGACATGAATCGGGTTTCCCAACTTGGGGACCTGTCCCCTGATGGTCCTCCTGGCTGTGGGCAGGTCCCCTTAGGTACCTGGCCTGTGGGGACCTTCCCCGGTCCCATTTCACAGGCAGCATTCAGTGAATCCATTGTCTGCAATGCCCCAAGGCCCTGGTGCTTAATTAGGGCCTGGAATTTGGGATGGGCCCGGTGAGGCTGCCGGGTGGCAGAAGGGCTGGCGTTTTCACTAATTAAATCGATCGATTCACAGACTGGCTGAGCAACCAAGCCAGAAATGCTGCCTGGGAAGGGACGGCAAAGCTTTGCGGCAGAGGTGGGCCAGGCAGGTGGGAGTTGCTGTGCTGCGGAGGGGACCCGTGAGTGTCAGGCTCACCGAGGCGCACCCGAGCAAGGGGTGCTCGTGTTACTGGGGGGGGGCTCCCGTCAATGGCCTTCTGCCCCAGTGTACACTGCCACCTCCTCTGCCCTTCAGGGGAGATGAGCACCGAGGAGGGCAGGTGGACGAAACATCCTCCGTGGGCTGAGGCACCTGCCGACACAGCCTCACACACTGGGGACAAAGGAGGGCTGAGGAAAAGCTACCTGCTCAAGGTCACGCAGCTTGGAAGCGTTCGCAGCAGATGCCAACGCCGACCAAGCCCATGTTGTCCCATTACCCGCCAGAAGGGGGAGCTCGTAAGAAGTAGCATTCCCACCCCTTGTTCCCCGACTCCAGATGGCAGAGAGGGGAGGAGGATCCCGCCTGGGTGGAAGCTGCTGGACAGGGAGAAGGAAGGGCTGGGAGCAGCTCCTGTACTGGCTGCCCTTGAGTCTTTGAAGGGTGCTGGGGGAAATGGGAAGGGTGCTGAGTGTCTCCGCTCAGCGTACGAGAAGGCAGGGGCTTACGTCGCAGCAGGAAAGACAGGGAACCTGAAGACCTGGCCCTGACAATCAGGAGGCTCGGCTGCAGAGGGGACGTTGGGAGAAGTGGTGGCAATGCCAGTTCTGCTGATGTCCAAGAAAGGCACAGATACCTGCCCCCACCCCCGGAGAGGGCTCTGTCAGACCGATGGCAGGGCAGCCTCAGGCTCTTAGATCCAGCAGGGCTACCAGGGAGTCTGGTGGATGCAGTGGGTGCCTGAAGACTTCCTGCCTCACAGTTCATTTCCACCTGCACCTGTATGCTGTCTGCACCTCCCACTCCACCCTCCACAAGCCCCTTGCTCTTCCCTCCTACTTCCTCTATTTTGTGTCCTGGAAGGAGCCCCCCGCCTCCCAGTGTTCGTGCCCACCCCCGACGGGAGCCCATCTCCTCTGGCCCAACTGTTTCCTAATCTGGACCCCGCCTTCCCTGGTCCAGTCCCAGAGACAACGCTGCACCAACCCCAGGACCACCCAGGCTGACTCAGGAGGGGAGTGTGACAATCAGGGTGCTGGGCCAACCCTGCCCAGCCTCGGAGGATCACATGGGCTGGCCTGCGGGATCTGAGATAACTTGCCTCCTGTGCCTAGCAAATTTACTGCCTTGCCAGGGAAGTACTGCGAGAGGGCTTGACGTTCTTTTCGGCTAAGTAATGACCTGTCCTGGAAGGAGTCAGCCAAGCCCCCACAGCTGTGACCTGAGGCCAAAGCGCACAGGGCCTGGGTTGGGGGCAACTGCTCTCCCTCCATTTACCTGACTCCTCAGAACAAGGCAAGGATGTCCACTCTCGCCATTCATATGCAATATAGTTATTGAAATTCTAGCTATAGCAATTAGGCAAAAGAAAAAAAGGGATACTAGTAGGAAAGGAAGAAGTAAAACTATCCTTGTATGCAGATGAATGATCTCATACTTAGAAGAGCCTAAAGACTGAACTGGAAGACTGTTAGAACTAATAAAAAGAATTCAGCCTTGTAGCAAGATATAAAATGAACATACATACCAAATACCTCTGTGGGCAAAAGAGGCGCTGAACTCTCAAGCCTCAGGCTCTAGGCCCTGGCTCGCTTGGGCCGCATGATCTTATATGAATCACCCACCATTTCCAGGCCTCGGTCTCCCCATCTGTGGGGGAGCGTGATTTGCACCAGGTCAGAGATTCTCACTTTTGCTCCACCAGCAGGATCCCTGAAGCACTTGTGAAAAATGCCAATTCCTAAGTCCTCCTTGGACACTTGGATCTATTGGGTATCAGATGTAGTTTGGGGGCCTATGTATGAACAAAGCTCTTGGGTGATTCTTACTACCAGGCCCTGGGATTGGGATAAAGAGTCTCCAAGGTCCTTTCTAACTCACATCTGTTAGGCGATGAAATTCTCAGGACCATTCAGACCAGTCCCTCTTTCTCACTCCGGCAGCCCTGGGCCCTGGCACCCTGGGGTGTTTTCTCTTAGGCCCTTTGTTTTTTGCTCACTCATTCTTAGGAAAGGGAGACCAAGGGTAGTGGCAATACCAGGCAAATAGGTATATTTATCTATCTGCCAAACGTCACCCTTAAAAGATTACTCATGGCAGTGCTGTCTGTAACAGCCAAACACTGAGAATAAACGTTGGCGCAATGAGTTATGGTACCTCTGGGTATCATGCCAATGTAAAAAGGATGAAGACGATCTTCACGTTACCACCTGGAACAATCTCCCAGTCAGACGGCCACGTGAAAAAGGCAGGAGGTCAAGCAGTCTGCGTAATATGTGATGTTTGGGCAAAAACAAAAAGTACACATAATGACTTGTGCATGCAGGGGAGTTAGCAAGAGAGCTGCCTCTGGGGAGGGACTCCAGAGGCTGGGAACAAGGATGGGGAGAGACTTTTCACTATATTCCCATTTGTACCTTTTGAATTTTGTATTACGGGTCAGCAACATCTACTCTAAAACCTTACATGTTTTCAAAAGTTCTCCACGGCTTTCTCAAATTGCACTGCTATCCCCACTTTCATCTCGCTTCGAACACAGCCCCAGTCTATCCTTGGCGTCTCTTGCAGGTGTGTGAGGCGAAAACAGGCAAGGATCCCACAGGTGTGTCTGGCCTGACTGGCCCAGCCCTGCCCCACGACTGAGAAGCACAGGTGGAAAGAAGAGAGGAACTGGGGCTGGACTGGCCCAGCTACAGCCCACCCACAGCTCCCAGGGGCTACCCCAGAGCAGGGCCTCCACATCAGCCTCACTTCTCCATCCCTAGCTGGCCACTCTGTAGGCAGCCAGCTGGTCCTGGGCCCTGGCCCACCCCTTGTACGCTGACCTGCTGGACTCAGCTCACCTCCTCATTGAGGATCTCCTGGCACTCGGAGTAATTCACACGGGCAGCCCAGCTGCCATTGGCCAGGCACTCCCGGTAGCCATTATCTGGAAAAAAGAAGCCACTTGAGAGAGTAGCAGCCCCACGTGTCCATCCATCCATCCATCCATCCATCCATCCATCCATCCAAGCACCGAGCACCTATTATGTGCCAGACACACTGGAACTAGCTGGGGAGGCAGAAAAGAGCAACACAGGTACTTTACCTGCCCTCACAGAGCTTACAGCCCACTG